AATATGCAGAGAATAGCAACCAAGATGATTAGAGGGTTGGAGGCTAAAACATACGAATTGGTGGCAGGAATTGGGTATGTTCTTAATTTGATGAAAAGAAGGGTTAAGGGGGACATGATAGCAGTTTTCCAATATTTGAGAAGCTGCCACAAAGAAGAGGGGGTCTACCTTTCTCCAAAGCACCCGAAGGCAGGACAAGAAGAAGCATCCGATGGAATCTAACCAAGGAGTGAAGCATCCTGGAATTAAGGAGAAACTTCCTAACAATGAGAACAATGGACCAGGGCAGGGGTCTGCAACCTTAAACACTCAAAAGAGCCATTTGGACCCGTTTCCCACAGAAAAGAAAACACCGGGAGCCACAAAACTCTTCCTGTGCCTGACTATTCCTTGAGCGGCCACAAAACTATCCTAGGTAGTTGAATTAAATGTTCTGTTGTCTTCTGAAATTTTTCTTGGATTTATCCATGGTTGGCCTACCCGGGGGTTGAAAAGCTCCATGATGCATATTTTGAGTGACGGAGCTGCAGCAGAAGGATGAAAAGGACCACATGCGGCTCCAGAGCCACAGGTTGCTGACCCCTGGACCAGGGGAACGACTTGCCTCCAGAAATTGTGGTTTTCTCCATCACTGGAGGTTTTTAAAAAGAGATTGGAACGGCATTTGCCTAGACTGGTATAGGGTCTCTTGCTTTAGAAGGGGGTTGGACTAGAAGACCTCCGAGGTTCCTCCCAACTCTGTTGTTCTGTAAGATTAAGATCAATTGGCCATGGGTTTGATTTAGAAAAATGGCAAAAATTGTGGTTGCAAAATTATAAAATGACAACGTCTACAGCATATAAGGAGAATTTGTATAAAATGTTTTACAGGTGGCATCTACCCCCGACGAGGATAGCCAGAATGTTCCAGAATAAATCGGAGAAGTGTTGGAAGTGTCATCAGACTCCAGGATCTTATTACCATATGTGATGGACATGCATAGAAGCAAGGAGATATTGGACTAAGCTACACACGTGGTTGGAAAAAATGACAGAGACATATTGACTTTAAACTAGAGATATTTTTATTAGGGATCTCACCAGAGACATATAATAAAGAATTGCAATATTTAATTGTGAGCATTTTAACAGCGGCTAGAATTGTATTTGCCAAAAACTGGAAAGGAGAGAAGATACCTACTGATGATGAAGTTATCAAGAAAATTATGGACTGTGCTGAAATGAGTAAATTGACATTTGAAATTAGAGAACAGGAAGATAAACAATATTATTGATATGGGATTTGTTCTATCAATGGATAGATAATAAAACATGGAGATGAAATATGAAATATGAAGTTGATGTAAAGATAAAATATGTGAAGTTCTTTTTTTATGAGTAATAAACTTTTGTTATATATTGGTACTTTGAAGATGGGATTATGCACAAAAGAATGTTAACCGATCGACACACTGTCTGTAATTGGAATGATGATGGTTTTATGTTTTGTTGTTGTTTTAAAATAAAAAAAATCTTAAAAAAAAAAAAAGACCAATTAGGTGAATTCAGCCAGGCCAGGCTACTCGTTTTAAGAGGGGTAAAATTCAACTCCCAGAATTCCTCTGGCAGGAAAAAGAAAATTCTATGAAAATGGGATAATAGGAAAGATTCAGTTTCTTGATAGCTTGATATTTTTGATTCTTTTTTTTAAAATTTTTATTGTATTTTTATTGTTAAAGAATAACAGAAAAAAAAAACAATACAAAAATCACTAATAAAGAAAGAAAATTTTTTTCCCCCCAACGTGCTATACAAATGGAAAGGAAGTTTTAGGAAATTAAAGTCTTCAATTCTTCCAGAAATCTCTTTGATAAGGTACTGGCAAAGTCCACAAATGGTTGCCAAGTGTTCCAAAAAACATTCTCTTTATATATACCACTTCTAATTTTAATATCACAAGTCAATTTATCATTTAATGCAAATTTCCATGTTTCATTATACCATTCTTCTAATTTTAAGTCAACATTTAATTTCCAATATCTAGCAATTATAATTCTCCCCATTATAACCAAAATCCTCACCAATTCTCTTTCTCCAGTTGTTCTCCCTGATATTTTTTTGATTCTTGAGCCAGCTGTGTGCAGCCGCTGCCGAAAAAGCTAATAGAATCCTGGGTTGTATAAACAGAGGCATCGGATCAAAATCATGTGAAGTATCAGTACCGCTTCATAAAGCCTTAGTAAGGGCCACACCTGGAATTCTGCATCCAGTTTTGGGCCCCACATTACAAAAAAGATGCTGAGACTTTGGAAAAAGTGCAGAGAAGAGCAACTAAGAGGATTAAAAGGCCCGGAGACTAAAACATATGAAGAACGGTTGCAGGAATTGGGTTTAGCGAGTGTAGAGAAAAGAAGGAATAGGGGGTACATGACAGAAGTATTTCAATATTTGAGGGCGCCACAAAGAAGAGGGGGTCAACCAGGGATGAAATCCAGCAGGTTCTGACAGGTTCTGGAGAACCGGTAGCGGAAATTTTGAGCCGTTCGGAGAACCGGCAAATACCACCTCTGGCTGGCCCCAGAGTGGGGTGGGAATGGGGATTTTGCACTATCCTTCCCCTGGAGTGGGGTGGGAATGGAGATTTTGCAGTATCCTTCCCCCGCCACGCCTACCAAGCCACACCATGCCCATCAACCACAGAACCGGTAGTAAAAAAAATTGGATTTCACCCCTGGGGTCAACCTATTCTCCAAATCATCTAAAGGCAGGACAAGAAACAATGAATGGAAAATAATCAAGGACAGAAGCAACCTGGAATTAAAGGAGTAATTTCCTGACAGTGAGGACAATTAACCAGTGGAACAGCTCGCCACTAGAAATCGTGGGTGCTCCATCACTGGAGGTTTTTAAGAAGAGACTGGACGGTCACTTGTCTGAAATGGTATAGGGCTTTCTTGCCTGAGCAGGGGGCTGGACTAGTAGACCTTCAAGGTCCCTTCCAACTCATTCTATTCTAAATTGATACTCAAAAATGGGTCTGTAAGTTCATCCATTTTTTTTCTCCCTGCCTGAAAACCAAGAAAGGAAGCAGCTGGCAAAAGAGAACTCAGGAACTGCATTCCCACAATATGTAACCTAGTTGTTGAGTTAACCCATTGGCAGTACCAGCGTAATACTTTGGGGGAGGTTGGGGAAGGCATTACGGATAGTCCTTGACTTATGACCATAATACAGGTAGTCCTCAATTTACAACCATTCATTTAGTGACCGTTTGAAGTTACCACATTGCTGAAAAATGACTGTTCGCTGCGTCCCCATGGTCACGAGATCAAAATTCAGACGCTTGGCAACTGACTCGTATTAACGACAGTCGTAATGTCCTGGGGTCATTGCCGTCCCCTTTTGCGACCTTCTGACAAACGAAGTCAATGGAGAAGCCAGATTCACTTAAAGCCGTTTTAGTCACAACTGCTGTTATTCAACAACTGTGTCCAGAACGGTTGTAAAACGGGGCATGATTTCACTTAACAACTGTGGATTGTGGAAATTTTGGGGCTCCATTGTGGTCGTAAGCCGAGGACTACCCATAGAGCCTGCTCATTATGGTTATCAAGTCGGAACGATCGTCAAGATCACCCATGCGATCAAACCCCTTTTCCCCAACTTTTGCAGCTGTCGTTAAGTGAGCCCATTGATCCCTATGTGGGGGGAGGGGATGGCAGAAAACTGTCATAAATTGCAATCATGGGGACCTGGCAAATGGCCTTAAATGCAGACGGGTTGCTGAGCTCCCCAAATGAAGGTCACATGTCCAAAGCGAGGGGGAGAGAGAGCCCCCCCCTTCAGCTGTCAGACCCGGCGTTTATTGAAACTTTAATCGGCTGTTAAATGACTCCGTCGTAAGTCGAGGACTACCTGTACTAAAGCTAAAAAAAATGATAGCAGTCTTCCAATATTTGAGGGGCTGCCCCAGAGAGGAGAAAGGGGGCCAAGCTATTTTCCAAGGCACCCAAAGGCCAGACAAGGAAGAATGGATGGAAACTGATCAAGGAGAGATTCAACCTGGAAATAAGGAGGAAAGGGGGTAGGACTAGATGACCTCTCAGGTCCCTTCCAACTCTGTTAATCTGCATCTGTAAACCCAGCGACAGGACCCCTGTGAACACACATCTGGTTGGCTTCCCCCAGGCCAACCACCCCATTGGCTGCGTTCATCCAACCCGCTAGATCCGCTTTGGACAAACGGTGCTGCACTTATGTTGAGCGAAGTAAGCCAGCATGTTAAGCCATCATTCAAGAGATCTTGGTTTATTACCCCTGGTACAGAACCCAGCCGGGCTGTTTTCTCGGCCAGCTTTTCCAGCGAAGAAAAGGTTAAGAGAGACTCTTCAATTCAGAGGAAGCTACTTCCTAGGATTTCCAGGTGGTGCCCCATCCCATCCCGTCTCATTCTCCTACTCCAGCCTCAGTGAGCTTTTCTGGAGAGGCGAGGCTGCCCCCTAGCGGAGCTTTAAAGGGAAATTTGGGATGATCTAAGGCGGGGGCTTAACTATAGCAACTTTACGACCGGTGGACTTCAACTCCCAGAATTCCTGAGCCAGCTTAGCTGGCTCAGGAATTCTGGGAGTTGAAGTCCACCGGTCGTAAAGTTGCCATTAAAACTCCCAAAACAACTCCAAGATCAACGAAACGCCTATAAAACAGACCCTTATTTTATATCGATTTGATTCCCCTTACTTATAACGCAACCATTACAAGGCTGTGGATGATGGGAACTCAAGGGAGTGGCTTAGCGGCTCCTCCTTACGCAAACAGCCCTGCTCAGCTCGCCTTTTTTTTTTTCAACAGCCCCGCAAGCCACGCCCCCTTTCCCCGCCTTCTTCCTCCTGATTGGCTACCCCAACCAGAGTTTTTTTTTTCTCCCCCCCCGCCCTTTCGAACGTCGCGTATCGAACCTGAGCGGCTCTCGCCTCTCTCACTGGCTGGCCGAACCAGAAGCTCCGCCCCTTTCGAACGTAGAGTATCCGGCTTCTCTGGCGGCGTTCGATTCGCGTCGGGCGCGGATCGAAGGGAGAGAACGCGCGCTAGGAAGTCCTCTGCTGGGTCGGAGCAGGTAAGGGGGGGGTGTCGAAAGGCGGGGGGGCTACATGCCTTGGTTTTCCGGACTGCCATTTGTCAGAAATGGTATGTAGGGTCTCCTGCTTGGGCAGGGGGTTGGACTAGATGACCTCCAAGGTCCCTTCCAACTCTGTTCATCTGTTATCAGTCAGAAACGGTATGTAGGGTCCCCTGCTCGGAAAGGGGGTTGGACTAGGTGACCTCCAATGTCCCTTCCAACCCTTGTTTATCTGTAATAACAACAGCAAACAGCCAGCCTAGAAATAGATTCCCTCCTGCAAGGAGAAAGTTAGCTCTTCAGGCATTCCTGGATTTGGTTTTCCAGAAGATCCTCTGGAGGTTTTGCCAGGCCTGGAGGCTTTTTACGGAAGCAGAGTTTGTCAAGATTCTCCATCATCCAGGTCACGGTTTTCCCAAAGATGCTTTTTTTTTCTCAAGAGGCAACCGGATTTTCTGTTTTTTTTCTTTGAAGACGTTTCGCTTCTCATCCGAGAAGCTTCTTCGGCTCTGACTGGATGGTGGAGAACGGAAGGATTGATACTCCTTGCAGACAATCTGGTCCTTTGCATCCTTTTTAGAGGGTCGTTGAGGCCACTCGGAGTTTTATCTGTGTTCTCAGGGTCCAAGTGGCCTCTACGACCCTCTGAAAAGGATGCAAAGGACCAGATTGTCTGCAAGGAATATAAACCCTTCCATTAATTAATTAATTAATTAATTGGGCTTGTATGCCGCCCTCTCTCCAAAGGACTCAGGGCAGCTATAATACAATAAATACAAAATTCAATTATAAAATATAACAAATATAAGAACCCATTAAAATCACATTTAAAACCCCTTCAGTCCAATCCGGCCAGGCCAAATAACCATGTTTTAAGATCACGGCGGAAGGAGCGAAGGTCAGGAGCTCCAGGGGGAGCTGATTCCACAGAGTAGGCGCGCCCACAGAGAAGGCCCGCTCCCTGGGAGTCACCAGTCGATGCTCTCTGGCCAACGGGACCCCAAGGAGGCCCTCCCTGTGGGAACGCACCGGGCGATGGGGAGCTGTCGCTGGCCGCAGATGGTCCGCCAGGTATCCTGGGCCTAAGCCATGTAGGGCTTTATAGGTAATTAGCAGCACCTTGAATCTCACCCGAAGGGCAACTGGTAGCCAATGCAGGTCCCGCAGGAGGGTGTAACATGAGAGTGTCCGGACGCTCCCATCACTACCCGCGTGGCCACATTCTGCACCAGCTGAAGCCTCCGAATGGTCTTCATGGGCAGCCCCATGTGAACAAGCTGGAAGATAGTTAAATATTAGAGGGAGATATAATGGAAAATATATTAGAAATTGGAGTAAATAAAATATGCCTTTGTGAGAAATCTGTGTAATATGTAAACTGGGAGGGAAAAAAAACTAAGGTAAACTGATTTGAGGATAAGGGTCAAAGGATTAAAATGAGATAAAATGTTGTTTTATAAAATATAATAAAAGTGGAGTGGTATTGAATTGAAACTAAGAATAAATGGTGATAAAATTGTAAGGTGAACACTTAACAAGAGGTTAGAATATTGTAAAAATTATTTTGATATGCCTTGTATAAGATATAAGGTAAAGAAGAATAAAGATATGTTTAGAATTGTTATGCAGATGTAAAAATGAGTGAAAGTGAATTTGAAACTAATTTTGGATAGATATAATGGATTTATATAGATGAAAATGTAAAATTTGTGGTAAAATTGGTTTTTTTCTTAAGTTTTGAATTTCTTTTTTTTTCTTCTTTTTTTTTCTTTTTTTGTTTGTTTATAAAAAATGTAATGGAAATTGTGAATTGAGCCTGTGAAAGGAATGTAAGCGTGGTAACCATCTATGACTGGATCGAGATTTTTGCTCTTGAAAGTTATGTTTTTATGTTTAAATTTGAAAAAATAAATAAAAAATATTTACAAAAAAAAAAAAAAAAGGGCAGCCCCATGTAGAGAGCATTGCAGTAGTTGATCCAGGAGGTGACGAGCGCATGAGTGACTGTGCGTAAGGTAGGGGCGCAACTGGCACACCAGACGAATCTGCACAAATGCCCCTCTAGTCACGGTCGTTACATGATCATCCGTGAATCCAGGAGGACGCCTAAATTGCACACCCTTTCTACAGGGGGCAACACCTCACCCCCTATAGCCAACGATGGAATATTCTCCCGGAACCGAGATGCCGGTACCCACATTCCCCACCATCCGGTGAGAGCGGAAGAAGCTTCTTGGATGGGAAGCAAAACGTCTTCAAAGAAAAACAAGGGAATCCAGTTGCCTCAAATGGCCGCTGGACATTTAAGTTCTTGACAATGGGTGGTCCAGGAGCCTCTTGAGCATTGCAGGCCCCTTTGGGACAGCTGCAGTGTCTTTCTATGCCCGTGTATCTCAAGCTCAAGCGTTTAGGCTCTAGTCTAGTCTATACCATCCCCAGTCTCTACTTGAAAACCTCCAGTGATATAATTTATACATTACTGTTATATTTATAGTATTTGCTATTGTTTGTGTTTTATCTATTGCTGTGTGCTGCCCATTTGATAAATAAGGACAGTTTGAATCGGAGTTTCTCCAACTTGGCCAAGTTAAAGTGGACGGAAGTTCATCCATCTTTAGGTGACCAAGTTTGAATTAACTGGTTTTTTTTTTTTTTTTTTTTTTAAATTCCTTTTGTTTGCCTGCAGAGCTATCTTTCAGCTTGCAGGGAGCCCATTTCTAGGATGGCTTTTCCTGCTATTATTAAGGTGGAGGAAGATCACAGCAAACTGAAATACCTTCCATGCCCTTCCTTTATTGATTGATTGATTGATTGATTGATTGATTGATTGATTGATTGGTTCGATTTATATGCCGCTCTTCTCCGGAGACTCAGGGCGGCTTACAATGCGTTAAGCAATAGCCTTCATACTTTTGTATAGACCTGCTTAGTAGGGCTTTCGCCCCCCCCCCCCAAGTGGTGTTCTTTTTAATACAAAGTCATCTTATTGCCCCCACAATCCGGGTCCCCATTTTACTTACCTCGGAAGGATGGAAGGCTGAGTCAACCCTGAGCCTGCTGAGATTTGAACTTGCAGTAATTGCAGGCAGCTGGCAGCTACTTAACAGCACCACCAAGGCTCTTTGTCTTGCAAAGGGATGCTCTTTGGGGAATTCTGGGAGTTGAAGTCCATGCATCTTAAAAATGGCCAAGTTTGAAAAACTCTTTGTTTTAAATGGTTTGTCTTCATGTCAATCAACTGTGATTTCCCCCCCCCCCAAGTATGAGGCCTGCCTTGCAGATACTGCCGTGTCTTTGCTGCCCTCTGGTGGTGGCTTGCATGTTTGCAGCCAGATCTAGCATACCCACTCCACTCTCCTTCTCATATTTGCTGGGAAAGTCACAAAGATTGCGTTGAACAACTGTATTTCTAGCTGCAGTCGCTTAGACCTAGTTTCTGAGACCCTAAGGGAGGGGGGGGAGCCATGAGCAGCAGCAGTGGGGAAAACACCCCCCCCACCCAGGCTGTGTTCTCATGACCTATGTCCGTGATGACGAACCTATGGCATGTGTGCCACAGGTGGCACGCAGAGCTGTATCTGTGTGCATGTGAGCGTTGCCCTAGCTCAGCTCCCAGCATGCATGCGTGCGCCAGCCACCTGATTTTCAGCCCTTTCGGGCCCACCGGAAGTCAGGAAATGGACTGTTTCCAGCCTCTGGGGGGGTGGGGAAAGCAGTTTTCGCCCTCCCCAGGCTCCAGAAAAGCCTTTGGAGCCTGGGGAGGGTAAAAAACGGGCCTTCCGGGCCCACTGGAAGTTGGGAAATGGGCTGTTTCTGGCCTCCAGAGGGCCTCCGGGGGGGAAGGCAGTTTTTGCCCTAGCCAGGCTCCTAAAAAGACTCTGGAGCCTGGGGAGGGCGAAAAATGGGCCTACCGGGCCCACCATGCCATCACGTGCCAAAAGTTGGGGGAGTGCGGGAGGGGGTCACGCGCGCATGTGCGGGGTGCATTGAATTATGGGTGTGGGCACGCAGGTGCACAAACCCCCTGCACTCCCCCCGCTTTTGGCACGCAACGGCAAAAAGGTTAGCCATCACTGACCTGTGTAAACCCAGATCAACAAACAATTTAGTAATGTCTGAATGGGACACTCTGGTTCATGTCACAGCAGTGGAGTCCCAAACAAATAATAATGCAGCAATTGAACGCAGGTAAGTCCTCGGCTTACGACCAAAATTGAGCCCAAAATTTCTGTCGCTAAGCAAGACAGTTGTTAAGTGAGTTTTGCCCCGTTTTACGACCTGTCTTGCCCCAGTTGTTAAGTGAATCACTGCAGCTGTTAAATTAGTAACCCAGTTGCTAATTCTGGCTTCCCCATTGACTTTGCTGGTCAGAAGGTCGCAACCGTCTGCAGCCGTCATAAATATGAGTCGGTTGCCAAGCAGCTGGATTTGGATCACGTGACCATGGGGATGCTGCAACGGTCGTAAGTCTGAAAAACGGCCATGTCACTTTTTTCAAATGGTCACTAAAGGAACTGTTAGAAGTCAAGGACTATTGTCTGCAGAAATTCCTGATCTCGCTTATTTTAGGACTTCTTGACTTCTAAGACTGTGTAATCTTTTTAATGGGTTTTTTTTTTCCCCCAACCAGGGTCTCCTCATGGCTGGAAGAGGTGGAAGAGGAAGGGGCCGGGGGGCCCACATGACCTTCAATGTTGAGGCGGTGGGCATCGGGAAGGGGGAGGCGTTGCCCCCTCCCACCCTGAAGCCATCACCCCTCTTCCCTGTGAGTTGCTCAGTTGCCTTTGAATTCCTTCCTTGGATGCTCCCCAAATTTTTCCCTTCGTTGTTAAAACTGCTTTTCAGAAAATCTTACCACACTTCCAGGACCATCCTAGGCCCCTTCCTTCAGCACAGGTCCTAACAGGTCACCGAACAAACAGTCATAACTCGAGGACAATCTACCCGTGTTTCCCCAAAAATAAGACCCTGTCTTATTTTATTTTTTTTGAACCCCAAAATAAGCGCTTGGCCTTATTTTCGGGGAGGTTTTATTATTTTGGAGCGCGTGGAGCAATATGGGACTCCTCTTGCCGTCTTGCCTGATTTCCAACTCTGCGTTTAATTATTTTTGGGGAGGGCTTATTTTCAAGGGGGGGGGAGGCTTATTACAAATCAAATCAAATAAATAAAATAAATAAATATTTTAGTGCATGCGCTCAAAAGCCCAATTGGGCTTATTATCAGGGGAGGTCTTATTTTCGGGGAAACAAGAGTATTTTATAAGGAAATATCACTGAATGATCTTTAGATCATTTCAACGTAAAGATAATTCCGTCCATTTTTGTCTCCAGAGGTAGATTCTGGGAGATTTTTGAATATATTTCAGTGCCCGTGTATTTAAATTTTCTTTTTTGTGATGGGTCCTGAGTTCGAGTGTGGTTTCACCCTTTTTGGACTTTTGAAGTCCTTAAGACATAGCTACACTCCCGGACTCAATGTGGCTCTTACAGGCTGAAAATTATTTTTTTGTTTCTTTTTTTTTAAAATAATTTTTATTAATATAAATAAAAAAGAGCAACATATTCAAAATCCATATAGAGTTGTCTGGTTACAGTTCCTTTGAGTAATAAGCATCACAGTAATGATAATAGTATTCTGTAATAGTAATCTCATAAGAACAGTGCTTTTCCCTCATAACATCAATACATATTAATTGTATTAGTTGTACCTTATGATTCTTGACGAATGTATCTTTACTTTTATGTACCCTGAGAGCGTATGCATCAAAGACAAATTCCTTGTGTGTCCATTCACACTTGGCCAATAAAGAATTCTATTCTATTCTATTCTATTCTATTCTATTCTATTCTATTCTATTCTATTCTATTCTATTCTTCTCCTCTTCTCTTCTCTCCACTCCTCTTCTCTATTCTATTCTAGTCTATTCTATTCTATTCTATTCTATTCTTCTCCTCTTCTCTCCACTCCTCTTCTCTATTCTATTCTATTCTATTCTAGTGTAGTCTAGTCTAGTCTAGTCTAGTCTAGTCTTAATACTAATAAAAATTAACCAAAGTTAATAAGTTACGGTAAACAATCCTAATAATAAGATTAATCTTTCTCTTATTGTTTTTGAAGTTCTAACTCCTGTTTCTCTTATTTAGCCATCGATAGAACAGATCCCATACCTACAAATATTCAGTGTCTTCCTTTTCCTTAATTTCAAATGTTAGTTTATTCATTTTTGCACATTCTAAATTTTTTGTTATTATCTTTTCTTCTGTGGGGATCTGATCGCCCTTCCAATGCGAACACGATTCTGGCCACTGTTAACACATGTATTTAAGTATGCATTTCTTTTACTCTATTTGTCTGGTATAATGCCCAACAGAAATATTTCCGGTTTTAAATCTATATGTTTCTTTATCATTTTTTCTAGCCTGGTGTGTACTTTGGTCCAGTAGTGGGTTTTTTTTTTTTGCTTTTGGGCATGTCCATCACATTTGCTTGCACTTCCAACACTTAGCAGACATATTCTTAAACATTCTAGCTAATCTTGCTGAAGGGAAGTGCCATCTATAAAACATTTTGTATAAGTTTTCTTTATATGCAGTGGACAATGTCAATTTATAGTTTCTGTCCCGCAACTTTTGCCATTTGTCCAATTCTATAGAGCCGTGATGGCGAACCTATGGCACACGTGCCACAGGTGGCACGCATAGCCATATCAGTGGGCACGCCAGCTCAGCTCTGGCACGCATGTGCGTGCCGGCCACCTGATTTTCAGGCCTTTTGGGACCACCAGAAGTAGGGAAACATGCTGTCTTCTGCCTCTGGAGGGCCTGGGGGTAGATGGGGAAGGCTATTTTCACCCTCCCCAGATGCATAGAGAGGATCTGGAGCCAGGTGACAAAGAAAAACGGGCCAGGAGCAAGGGGGGGAGGGGAGGTTGGGCGCGCATGCGCAGGGCGGGGTGCATAAAATTATGGGTGTGGGCACGTGCATACGCGAACCTCCCCCGCCCCCCTCCTTCCTGGCACGCGATGGCAAAAAGGTTAGCCATCACTGCTATAGAGAATCCAAAATTTTTAGCTACTGTGCTATCATAGTTTCTTTTACTTGCTCCTCTTCCATTTTTGAAAATTATTTTTTTGGATTAGGTGACCACGCGGAATACTGCAACAAAAAACAGTCATAAATCACTTTTTTCAGTGCCATTGTAACTTCAAACGGTCACTAAGTGACTACCTGTAACCAGACCAAATTCGATTTTTAAGGCTCCCCCTTTTTTGGATCGGCGAAAGGAATACTGGCTGCATTCCCACAACACATGAAGCATCTGTGGTTTGTTTAATTGTGGCTTACCGGATTGTGGGAACTCACCGGTCGGGTTGTTGCTGCTTCAGGGTCTTAAACCTATCAATAAGAAAACGGGTTAATTTAATAGCCCGATGAAACGTGCTGTGGGGAAGGGAGCCGAAGCTTTCTCACGTTTTGTCTTGATTCTGGCTTGTTTCTGTAGCCGCTGGAATATAAGCCGCTTCCGTTGCTGGCCGGAGAGGAGGTGGAATACATGCTGGCTCTGAAGCAGGAGCTGAGGGGGGCCATGAAGAATCTGCCGTATTTCATCAAACCTTCGGCCCCCAAAAAAGGTATCGAGCGGCCGAGAAAACCGTGAAGTCCTTTGAAATAATTTCTGCCTCGTGGTTGGCTGAGCTTCTGTGATGTCATCGAATCGCGCATGGGATTTTTCGCTTCTTTTTTCTTTTTTTCCCCTTCTTTAATTTCTTTTTTTTCTTTTCTACCTGCTAGTTTTCCCATCATTCAAAATATCTGCAGATCTTGTACACAAGTATCTGGCCTGCTAATAGTCAAGCTAAACTGGCGCTTAGAGAAGGGTCAGCGGAATTCAAGGGAAGGGAGCTAAACTTTGGACATTTGTGACTGCGCCGTGATTCCCAACTAATGACGGCTTTTACCCCGCCCGCCATCTCGGCCTGCTCGCCTCCTCCATCTTCTCACCCTCCGTTATTTAAAGAGGGCATCGCTAATTCCCAAATTTTTAATTTCTCCAGATATCGAGCGCTATTCCGACAAGTATCAGATGGCGGGTCCGGCGGACAACGCCATGGAGTGGAACCCAGGTGAGGCTGGGAAAAAATGTTTTGATTTCTGGGGGGATTCTTATACGGAAGGTCCTCGATTTACGACCACAATGGAGCCCAAAATTTACATTGCTAAGGGATTCATTAAGTGAGCTTTGCCCCGTTTTGAGACCTTTCTGGCCATAGTTGCTAAGGGAACCAGTGCAGTTGTTCAGTTAGTAATATGGTTGTTAAGTGAATCAGGCTTCCACCATTGACTTCGATTGTCAGAAGGTCGCAAAACGGGCCTGGTGGCTCAGCAGACTGATAGCCTTGTGATTAACACCAGCTGCCTGCAATTACTGCAGGTTCGAATCTCGCCAAGGCTCAAGGTTGACTCAGCCTTCCATCCTTTCTAAGGTAGGTAAACTGAGGACCCAGATTGTGGGGGCAATAAGCTGACTTTGTATAAATATACAAAAGGATGAAGGCTATTGCTTAATGCATTGTAAGCCCCCCTGAGTCTCCGGAGAAGGGCGGCATACAAATCAAATTTAAAAAAAAGGGGGGGGATCATGTGACTCTGGGACACTGCAACCGTCATAAATATGAGTCAGTAAGTTGCCAAGTGTCCGAATTTTGATTAAGTGACCATAGAACAACAGTCATACATGTGAAGTCTGTTTTTTCAGTGACGTAACCTCAAACGGTCACTAAACGAACGTTTGTAAGTCAAGGACTACTGTACTAAATAGTTTGATAGTGACAAAGGTACAGGAGCCAAAACTGGGGTTTTCTCCCCCTTAATCTTGGGGAAGGATTAAGAATCACCTTGTCTCGAAATCATTCTGGCTGGGGAATTCTGGGAGTTCACAAGTTTTAAAGTTGCCAAGATTGGGCATCCCTGCTCTAAGTTATGCCCAAGAGATGCAGAGTTTCTAATTTTATTTTATTTTTTTTAAAATCCCACCAAAGCACATTGGAGCCCAAGTGGCTAAATTTTAATTGCTCAATTAAATCTTTGCTGATCTCTGCAGATTGGAAGCAGCTACCTCCAGAACTAAAAATTCGCGTGAAGAAGACTCGAAAACAAAGTAAGTAATTTTATTATCTGTGGAGGAAAAATATAATTTCCCCAAACTCCTGCAGCAGGAAAGCTGACCCCATTTCTTTCTGTAAGGAAATTCTCACTTAATGCGAGCAAAGTTTGCCGGTTTGATTTCAGGCTGTTTTTGATGGGTGGAGCTAATAATGATGGAAACATTCAATTCCCTGGAATTGAACAACTAGGTTTGGTCCCCACAAAAAAGATGTTGAGACTTTGGAAAATGTTCAGAGAAGAGCAACTAAGAGGATCAAAGGCCTGGAGACTTAAACCTATGAAGAACGTTTTGGGTCTGGCTAGTCTAGAGAAAAGAAGAATTAGGGGTGACATGATAGCATTACTCCAGTATTTGAGGGGCTGCCCCAAAGAAGAGGGGGTCAAATTATTCTCTCAAGTGCCGGAGGGCAGGACAAGAAGCAATGGTTTGAAATTGATCAAAGAGAGAATCAACCTGGAATTAAGGAGAAACTTCCTAACAGTGAGGACAATTAACCAATGGAACAGCTTGCCACTAAAAGTTGTGGGTGCCTCCATCTCTGGAGGTTTTCAAGAAGAGACTGGACAGTCATTTGTTTGAAATGATATAGGTTCTCCTGCTTGAGCAGAGGGAAGGACTAGAAGACCTCCGAGGTCCCTTCCAGCTTCTCCTCTTCTCTTCTCTTCTCTTCTCTTCTCTTCTCTTCTCTTCTCTTCTCTTCTCTTCTCTTCTCTTCTCTTCTTCCATTCTATATATTATTCTATTCTATTCTATTCTATTCTATTCTATTCTATTCTATTTTATTTTCTCTTCTCTTTCTCTTCTCTTCTATTTTCTCTTCTCTTTCTCTTCTCTTCTATTTTCTCTTCTCTTCTCTTCTTCCATTCTATATATTATTCCATTCCATTCCATTCCATTCCATTCCATTCCATTCCATTCTATTCTATTCTATTCTATTCTATTCTATTCTATTCTATTCTCTCTTCTCTTTTCTCTTCTCTTCTCTCATTCTATATATTATTCTATTCTATTCTATTCTATTCTATTCTATTCTATTCTATTCTATTCTATCTTCTCTTCTCTTCTCTTCTCTTCTCTTCTCTTCTTTCTCTTCTCTTCTTCCATTCTATATATTATTCTATTCTATTCTATTCTATTCTATTCTATTCTATTCTATTCTATTCTATTCTATTCTATTCTATTCTCTTTTCTCTCATTCTGTATATTCTATTCTATTCTATTCTATTCTATTTTCTCTTCTCTTCTCTTCTTCCATTCTATATATTATTCCATTCCATTCCATTCTATTCTATTCTACTCTCTTTTCTCTTCTCTTCTCTCATTCTGTATATTATTCTATTCTATTCTATTCTATTCTATTCTATTCTATTCCTATTCTATTCTATTCTATTCTCATTGCCATTGGGCACACTGGGAAGATGCTATTTGATCAAATCTGAAAGCTGGATCAGAGAGCATCAGTCCATCCAATGTGCCTTTGTCCAAGAGCTTCAGACTAGAATGCCCATCACTTCGGTCAGTGTGTGAGGACAACGTTTGATGTCATCCAACAGATGTTGTCGGCTGCCAGCTGATGTTTAAGGACATTGAGAGGGATCTAGTGGACAACCATTTAAATAGGAGCCAGCCGTGTGCAGCAGCTGCCAAAAAGGCCAATTCAATTCCAGGCTGAGTAACAGAGGGATAGACTCAAGATCACGTGAAGTGTTAATTACCACTCTATAATGCCTTGGTTAGGGTTAGGGTTGGAATATTACATTCATCACACTTGGAATATTGCATCCAATTTTGGTCACCACGATATAAAAAAAAGATGTTGAGACTCTGAAAAGAGTGCAGAGAAGAGCCACAAAGAGGATTGGGGGCTGGAGGTAGAAATATATGAAGAACAGTTGCAGGATGATTACAGATGAACAGAGTTGGAAAGGGGTCTTGTAGGTCATCTAGTCCAACCCCCAGCCCAAGCAGGAGACCCTACTCCACTTCTGACAAATGGCAGTCCAGTCTCTTCTTGAAAGTCTCCAGTGATGAAGGAATTTGGCATGGCTAGGGGCCTGGTGGCTCAGCAGACTAAAAGCATTGTGATTAACACCAGCTGTCTGCAATTACTGTAAGTTCGAATCTCACCAGGCTCAAGGTTGACGCAGCCTTCCATCCTTTTCTAAGGTAGGTAAAATGAGGACCCAGTTTGTGGGGGCAATAAGCTGACTGTCAGGTTTCGATGTCGTCTCAAATAAAATAAATTGCATTTCCAAACAAATAGTCTTTGAAGAAATTTTTCATTTTATTAAGCACGACAACCTGTCCCCGATTGTGGCGTAGCCAATACTGACTTCCTGACCCCAAATCACTTCCCCCATATCTACTACTTCAGCTACCAGGAATGTCCCCCCTCCCATCTCATCTCCTAGGGGATATTATCTTCAGGGAAAATAAGTAGGTGAGAAGTCAAACGTCCTCTTGCCAGCTGCCCCCTCTTCTCCTTCTTATGTCAGCACTAGAGTAAATGCAGGTTGAAGTGCTGACACTGACTTTGTATAAATATATACAAAAGTATGAAGACTATTGCTTAACGCATTGTAAGCCGCCCTGAGTCTCCGGAGAAGGGCGGCATATAAATCAAATTAAAAAAAAAAGAAGGACTGGGGGTGACATGATAGCAGTCTTCCAGTATTTGAGGGGCTGCCCCAAAGAAGAGGGAAGGGTCCAATTATTCTCCAGAGCCCCTGAAGATGCAGGACAAGAAGCAATGGATGGAAACTAATCAAGGAGAGAAGCAACCTGGAATTAAGGAAAAACTTCCGGACGGAACAATTAATCAGTGGAACGGTTTCCTTCCTGCTCCATCACTGGAGGTTTTCGAGGAGAGATTGAACAGCCCTTTATCCACAAAGTTATCAGGTGTCCTGCTTGAGCAAGGGCATTGGGTTGGACTAGAAGGCCTCTGAAGTCCCTTCCAATTCTGTTATTCTGTATTTTGTGCCTTTTTTCAGGCCCGCAGGGTGCCCGCAACTGACCCATGACTTTTAAGAGTTTTGCTTTTCTATGAATCGGCTCCTTGATTGCAGCCTGGCCGAAAACAGTCGCAGGAGAGTGGCTGGCCAGAATAATCAGCATTTCTGGTTTCTTTCTGGCGCAGGGCAGGTGGTTCCAGTTCCCAAACAGAAACCCAAAGTGCCCGCAGACAAGGAGGAAGCCATTAAGAAGCTGGAGGTAAGGGAGACTCCTTTCAAGAAGGAACCAGGCTGGGACAGAATACGGTTTTTTCCTCCTTTATTTCCAAATTCTTCTCATTGGTAAAGGTAAAGGTTCCTCTGGCACATATGTGCTAGTCGTTCCCGACTCTAGGGGGCAGTGCTCATCTCCGTTTCAAAGCCGAAGAGCCAGCACTGTCCGAAGACGTCTCCGTGGTCATGTGGCCAGCATGACTCAACGCCAAAGGCGCACGGAACGCTGTTCCCTTCCCACCAAAGGAGGTCCCTGTTTTTCTACTGGCATTTTTTACCTGCTTTCGAGGTTGGCAGAAGCTGGGACAAGTCATGGGAGCTCACCCCGTTGTGCGGCACACTAGGGATTCGAACCGCTGAACTGCCGACCCTTTCGATCAACAAGCTCAGCGTCTTAGCCACTGAGTCACTGCGTCCCTTTTTGAAATTCTTCTCATACACGTCCTCAATATACATCAGGTCCTTTAGTGACCTTCGAAGTTACAATGGGACGGAAAAAAGTGACTTATGAACGTTTTTCAGACTTACGACCCGAACAGCATCCCCATCGTCATGTGATTCGAAATTTGGCAGCTGACTCATACTTATGACGGTCGTGGTGTCACGTGATCCCCTTATGCGAAGCAAAGTCAGTGGGGAAGTCAGATTTACTTAACAACCATGCTACTAACTTAAGACCTGCGGTGGTTTCACTTAACAACTGTGGCAAGAGAGGTTGTAAAATGGGGCAAAATTCACTTAACGTCTGTCTCACTTAGCAACTGAAATAGTGGCCATCAATCAAGGATTGACTTGTATTTCCAAATTCTTTTCGTACATTTCTCAAGATGAAAATCCTCCCCGTTTCCAGGATTGCCCAGCATCTAACCACAATATCAAGAGATGGAGCAACGGCGTTTGCCTACATACAAACTTTGGTTTGTTTTACAACCATAATTGGAACTAGAATTTCCATTGCTAAGCAAGGCGTTTGTTAAAGAGAGCTGCGCCTGATTTTACAACCTTTTTGCCACGGTTGTTAAGCGAATCGCTGGTCATTAAGTGAGTATGGCTCCCCCCTTGGATTTGCTTGTAGGGAGCAGGCTGGGAAGGTCGCAAATGACACAATCACACAATCCCAGGATTCTGCAAATGTCATCATCATGTGCGCCGGTTGCCAAATACCCAAAATTTTGATCAGGTTTGTTTAATTGTTTTCCTAGACGCTGGAGAAGAAAGAGGAAGAAGTGACATCGGAAGAGGAAGAGGAGAAGGAAGAGGGCGAAGAAGGCAAGGAGGAAGAGGAGGAAGAATATGATGAAGAAGAGTTTGAAGAGGTAAGAGAAACTACCGCAGAGGCAAAGGCCCCAAAATGGCTGCCTCTGAGTTTTAGTAGGAGCAGCGTTTCCCAATGTCCACCATTTGGAGATGGGTAGACCTCAACTCCCAGAATTCCTCAGCCACCATGGAGCTGAAGTCCGTCCATCCTGAAATGGCCACGGTTGAGAAATGCTGAATTGGAGGAATAGGACAGAATAACAAGAATTGGAAGGGACCTTGTAGGTCATCTAGTCCAACCCCCCGCCCAAGCAGGAGACCCTATACCATTTCTGAATAGATGGCAGTCCAGTCTCTTCTGGAAAGCTTCCAGTGATGCAGCTCCCGCAACTTTATTTTATTTTATATTTTTATATTATTATTTATTTATCTATTTATTTATTTATTTATTTGATTTGATTTCTATACCGCCCTACTCCCGAAGGACTCAGGGCGGTGCACAGCCAAACAATAAAACACATACATACAAAATTTAAAAGTAGAATAAAATCAAATTAAATAATTTTGGCCCTGACAAATTTAAAACCCCAAAACTATTTGTTTTGTTTTGTTTTCTTATTTATTTATTTCATTTTATTTTTTCGTTTTATTATTTTAGTTCATTATTTATTTATTTTGTTTTGTTTTCTTTTATTAGTTTAGTTTATTATTTATTTATTTATTTTGTTTTATTATTTTATTTTATTTTATTATTTTATTTTATTTATTTTGTTTTGTTTTATTAGTTTATTTTATTTTAGTTTAGTTTAGCTTACTTTATTTTAGTTTATTATTTATTTTATTTTATTTTATTTTATTAGTTTATTTTATTTTATTAGTTTATTTTACTTTAGTTTATTATTTTATTTTATTTTATTTTTATTTAATTTATTATTTTAGTTTATTATTTTATTTTATTTTATTTTATTTTATTATTTTATTTTATTATTTTATTATTTATTTTATTTTATTATTTTAATTTATTAGTTTATTTTACTTTATTTTAGTTTATTATTTTAGTTTATTTTACTTTACTTTATTTTTATTTATTTTATTATTTTATTTTATTATTTTAGTTTATTTTGTTTTGTTTTATTTTGTTTTTGTTTTGTTTTATTTTAATTAATTTTTTCAATTAATTTTAGTATTTTTCATTATATTATTATATTTTTACTTTACTTTACTTTCTTTTTTTATTTTTAAACTTTAAATGCTGCCCATCCTGACCAATTTGCTGTTTGGAGTCTGCACCACATCTCCAACGCAGGCATCTCTGTGGCCTGGAACCGCATCCCAGCTTCTGACAAAAGTGGATTTAAAATTTAAATCTCCAATCCACCTGAATAAGTATTTTTAGCAGGCTCTGAAAGTGTCGGATTTCATCTGTTTTCCTTTTTTGTTGTTGTGTTTTTGCTGCTGCAGGAGACGGACTACATCATGTCCTATTTTGACAACGGAGAAGATTTTGGGGGTGACAGCGATGATAATATGGACGAAGCCATCTATTGAGGTCGTCAGTGGGCTGGCCGGTTGCAGAGGCCGCCTGGCGAAGTTTCTGGCGATCTCATCCTTGAGGGGTCTCGAAAGGGGTGTCCAGTCTCTAGATCAGGGGTCTCCAACCTTGGCAACTTTAAGACCTGTGGACTTCAACTCCCAGAATCCCTCAGCCAGCAAAGCAGGGGTCTCCAACCTTGGCAACTTTAAGACTTGTGGACTTCAACTCCCAGAATCCCTCAGCCAGCTGGCTGAGGAATTCTGGGAGTTGAAGTCCACAAGTCTTAAAGTTGCCAAGGTTGGAGACCCCTGCTCTAGATGGCATCTCTGCTCCATGTTGCCATTCGCCATTCAACCTCCCAATGATGGAGTCTTCCTCCGAAAAGGGTCTACGTGGAGCAGATTCTTGTGCTGCTCCGAAGTTCTCCAGGACTTTGCTTGGAAGTCTCCAAAAACATCCATAAACCACAATCTTTGGAGCTGAGGGAATGGGGTTGTGTTGGATGACGTGACTTGCATTGCAATACATGACTTATCCTTTGTGGCCTGCGTTGGATTACATGACCTATCCTCCTTGTCTTGTGTTGGATTACATGACCCATCTTCCTTGGCCTGTGTTGGATGACTTGACCTATTTTTCTAGGCCTGCGTTGGACGACATGACCTATCTTCCTTGGCCTGTGTTGGATGACATGACCTATCCTCCTTGGCCTGTTTTGGATGACTTGACCTATTTTTCTAGGCCTGCTTTGGATTACGTGACCTATCCTCCTTGGCCTGCATTGGATTCCATGACCCATCCTCCTTGGCCAGTCCCACCAGCAGGCTCTGATCCAGCAGGATTTGAGTTGCTTGTGGTCCAAAGCAGAAGAAGGGAGAAAGTTCCTCCTCAGGACTTTCTGAATTTTGAGGAACATCTCAAGAACTTTCATCCAGAGCTGGATCTGCTCTGTGGGTCAGTTTGGATTGTCTGGAGAGTGCTGGGAGAAAAGGACCCCACTGAAGAGGGGGATTCTGCAGAAAGGGCAGGGGGTGGATGCCCCCCTGTTTTTTTTTTAATTTTTGGTTCACAATAGAGGAAAGGAGAGAAAGGGCCCTCCACATAAATAAGCAAGAACATTTGAAGATGGGTGGACTTCAACTCCCAGAATTCCCCAGTCAGCATGATTCAAGATTGGGTGGACTTCAACTCCCAGAGTTCACCTCTTCAAGCCACCACGGTTGAAAAAAAAAACGCTGGTTTAGCCCCAACTTGAGGAAAGAGGAACCCAATTTTGTAGACACGAGTTTGGAGTGATTTTTCAGGTTTTCATTGCTGTCGGAAAAATAGTACAATTTGTGCTGTAAACTCGAGATATTTTTCTGGATCCTGAAGCTCATCAGCTGCCAAATTGAGGCCTTTTTTTGGGGGGGAGGTGGGAGAGGTGGGGTGTTTGCTTTCATGAGTTCTCTTCTTTTAAATGCGCTTGCAAAATTTCAGATTGCAATTTAAACCTCTGTTTCATGTTTCTCCAACTTCCCCTTTCGGCAGAAATGAGTCTTTGGGCTTAACCTTGTGAATTCGGGGGTGATGCCCGTGTCAATCTCCTTTGACTTAAAAGAAAGTCAGAAGTTGGATATTTATACAAAGGGGCCTCTGGGTGCCATGTTTGATCCGGAAATAAAATGATAGGAGGAGTTTGCCATCTCTTGTAGCTCAAAATTGCCCACCTGCCCAGGTGGAGGTTCCAGGTGGAAGGGAGTGAGTGTGTAGGACCCTGGTTGGGGGTCACGCCACCCCGATTTTTTCTGTCCAAGGTCTCCCTGGCCCTTTGCTTCCTGAAGGGGAAATAGAAGAGGAATAGAATAGAGCTGGAAGGGACCTTGGAGGTCTTCTAGTCCAGCCCTCTGATCAAGCTGCCGTTCAAATGATGAATAGGAATTTCTGGGCAGGTGTGAAATTTGGCTGGGCCAAAAGCTTGCAAAGTTTTGGGCCTAATATAGGTAGCCCTCGACTTACGACCACAATTGGGACTCTTTTAAGCCGTGTGGTCATTAAGTGAGGCACCATGTGACTGCAGCAGATCCTCTTTTTTTTTTTGCCATGGTTGTTACCCAAATCACCCATGCTCATGAACAAGATACAGGCAGACTTAACGACTGTTTTGTTTAAGGGACCATTTGGAGTTGTGACAGCCCTGAAAAAAAAAAGCGAATTTTGTGAGCATTTTTTTTCACACGACCGTTGCGGTAACCCCACGGTCACGTTGATCAAAATTCAGATGCTTGGAAAACTGGTTCATATTTATGACAGTTGTAGTGTCGCCGGATCATTAACAGACTGACAGAGTTGGAAGGGGTCTTGTAAGGTCATCTAGTCCAACCCCCTACCCAAGCAGGAGAGCCTACACCATTTCTGACAGGTGGCAGTCCAGGCTCTTCTTGAAAGCTTCCAATGTTGAAGCTCCCACAACTTCTGAAGGCAGCTTCTGTTCCATCGGTTGATTGTTCTCACTGTCAGAAAATTCCTCCTTATTTCCAGGTTGAATCTCTCCTTGATCAGTTTCCATCCATTATTCCTTGTCTGGCCTTCGGGTGCTTTGGAAAACACCTTGACCCCCTTCCTCCTCTCTATGGCAGCCCCTCAAGTATTGGAAGATGCTCTCCTGTCTGCCCTGGTCCTTCTGTTCCGTAGACTAGCCAGGCCCAGTTCTGCAACCGTTCATCGTATGTTTGAGCCTCCAGTTCCCTCATCATCCTGGTTGCTCTTCTCTGCACTCTTTCTAGGGTCTCCCCATCTTTTTTATAGTGTGGTGGCCAAAACTGGATGCAGGACTCTAGGTGTGGTTTTGTGACCTCCTGACCAGCAAAGTCAATGGGGAGGGAAGCCAGATTCGCTTAACAATCCTGCTACTAACTTCACAACCGCAGCAGTGATTCCCTTAACGACTGTGGCAAGAAAGGTCGTAAAATGGGGCAAAGCTCACTTAACAACTGTCTTGCTTAGCGACGGACATTGGGGGCTCAATTGTGGTTGTAAGTCGAGAACGACCTTTATCATAGGGCTGCGACGTCCGACTTCCTGCCGTCTTCCCCATTGCTTGTCGGAAGCCGGCAGGGAAAGGTTGCAAATGGTGATCTGCAGGACACCCGAAATGTCATTGGTGTAAGCGTTTTGCCGAGTGTCCAAATCGCAGTGAGGGGACCATGGGAACGCCGCAACTATCACAAGGGCGAGGGTCAGCTGTACGTCACTTTTTCAGCACCGTCATAACTCTGAACTGCTGTTAAACGAATGGTCATAAGCTGAGGACGCTGTTTCTACAGCTGGTTCTCTGCCCAGTAAATTAATCTCTTTTTGATTTGGCTTTTGGGACCTGACCTGCTGACCTTAATCTCCACTTTCCAACGCCAGCCTTGTAAGGAAGGCCTGTGGGAAGCCGCTGCTCACTCCTACGGGGACAGGACAGGTTGTGGCTGAGGGTGCTGAGTCAGTCGGGACTTCTGGTCTCGGGAACCTAATTCAAAAAAGGAAGCATCTCGCCCAAAACAGGAACTTGGGAAGGGTGAACGGGTAGTGGTACTGCTTGCACGCATACACACAAAAAAACCCCCAGTTTCCAGAGAATTTTGGCTGTTGTTTTTTACAATTGAGACAACACATTTAAAAGGAAATCCTCCCTAAAAGGGAATCTCTCCCGGAGATTCGTAGGATTCCCGACCATCGTAACTTTCGTCGCGCCCTAAAAAGATTATTATTTCAAGAAGCAGGGCTGGCCTAAATAATAATAACATTTTACTATTTTAATGGGTTGTTTTATTAGAGTGTTTTTTGGCCAATTTATTTAATTGTTTTAAATTGTTTTTAATTTTTATATTGTCATGGTTTTATTTTTGGCTGTACACCACCCTGACTCCTTTGGGAGAAGGGCGGTATAGAATTTTTTTTTTTTTTTTAATTTGATTTATATGCCACCCTTCTCCGAAGACTCAGGGCGGCTTACAATGTGCTCAGCAATAGCCTTCATCCTTTTTGTATATTTATACAAAGTCAGCTTATTGCCCCCACAACTGGGTCCTCAATTTACCTACCTTAGAAAGGATGGAAGGCTGAGTCAACCTTGAGCCTTGGCGAGATTTGAACCCTGCAGTAATTGCAGGCAGCTGGTTTTAATAACCAGCTTAATAACAGGGTGCCTTAAACCCCCGTACTACCAAGGCTCTTCAATAATATAAATAAATAAATTCAATAATATAAATAAATACATACATACATACATACATACATACATACATACATACATACATATATACATAAATGGTTGGTTGAAATTATTGTGTCTGGACCGACCACTTAATCGGGTTATAAATCAACTCTTCTCTTGGGTTTTTAATACAATAAAATTAACCAGTTATAGTTTTCGACTTACGGCCATTTTGTTTAGCAGCCATTCAAATTTAGGACAGCACTGTGACTTACAATTGTCTTCGCTCTTACAACCATCACAGTGTTCCCACAGTCATGTGATCAAAATTTGGGAGCTGACAAGTATTTACGACAGTTGTCTGGGGGTCACAATACAGATAATTCTTGCCGTATATATCAAAGGCCTGGAGACCAAACCATGTGACGAATGGCTGCAGATTTTGGGTTTGGCTAGTCTTAAAAAAAAGAAGAATTAGGGGTGACATGATAGCAGTCTTCCAAGATTTGAGGGGCTGCCACAAAGAAGAGGGGGTCAAATTATTCTCCAAAGCACCTTCAAGGCAGGAGAAGAATTGTATTGTTTCCTAGTATGATTTGATTGCTTATTAGTATCCTATGACTATGACTAAGTCTTGTATCTTACGATTCTTGACGAATATATTTTATGTTTTCTTTATGTACACCGAGAGCGTATGCACAAATTCCTTGTGTGTCCGATCACACTTGGCCAATAAAGAATTCTATCTAGTCTAGACAGAAACAATGGATGGAAACTAACCAAAGAGAGAAGCAACCTGGAATTAAGGAGAAATTTCCTCACAGTGAGAACAATTAACCAGTGGAACAGCTTGCCACCAGAAGTTGTGGATGCTCCATCACTGGAAGTTTTCAAGAAGAGACTGGACAGTCACTTATCTGAAATGGACTAGGATCTCCTGCTTGAGCATACACATACATACACCGTATTTTCTGGAGTATAAGATGCACTTTTCCCCTCCCTAAAAGAGGGTGGAAATGTTGATGCGTCTTATACACCGAATACAGCCATTTTCGGCCTCCCGAAGCTCCACCCCGCGCGTCCTATTTTTGCAAAAAATGGGCCCGTTTTTCACAAAAACTGGATGCACAGAGTGTTTGGGAGGCCTGCAGAGTGCTCCTGGGGCCTGGGGAGGGCAAAACTTCTTTTTTCTTACTTACCTCTTCAAAATCTTGGTGCGTCTTATACATCGGTGCATCTTATAGTCTGAAAAATACGGTAATAATACATAAATACGTACAGGTAAGTCAACTCACAACCAACATTGAGCACATCCGTTGCCAAGCAGGGCAGTTGTTAAATTACTTTTGTCCCATTTTATAACCTTTCTTGCCCCCGGTTGGTAAGTAAGTCACTGCAGTTGATAAGTTAGTTAACCTGGTTGTTAGGGGAATCTGGCTTCCCCATTGACTTGACTTGTTAGCAGGTCGCAAAAGGGAATCACGGGACGCTGCCACCGTCATAAAGGCGAGTCACTTGAGACTCAGATTTTTATAGTAGTTGGAACGTGGTATGATTGGATCCAGAAATGATGGGAGAGAGAGAGAGAGGATAATGTTGGATTATAATTATGGATGATAGTATAATTATGGTAATAAGTATTGGAAATGTAAATTTGTATATAAGAATATGTAAATAGTTTCTATTTTTACTTTCTGATTATTGGTGTATATATACATGGATATTTTGGTGATGTTACACCGTGATAGAAAAACTATTATACATTTTCTTTTTGTTTTTTTGAACGATAATAAAAATTTATTTAAAAAAAAAAGGTGAGTCACTTGCTGAGCGTCCCAATTTTGATCGCACGGCCAAAGGGATACTGCAATGGTCGTAAGTGTGAAAAAGGATCCTAAATCACTTTTTTCAGTGCTGTTGTAACTTCACACGTTCACTAAATGAATCCAGCATTACCTGTATGTCATATGCTTACGGTTGTAACCTGAGGACTGCCTGTGTGCCCTTCATAGTAAAAGCCATCCATTATCTGATCGAATGTGCTTGAACAAGTCATTTTATGACCCCTGGAATATTCTTCCTGAGTAAATTATTCTCTAATTACTACTAGTCTTTATCGTTATTATTATCTCAAGTGCTAACTATTTATGGCCGACCACCAGAGTTTTAAGCGTTGGCAAGGACTTTCGCCCGCTTCTGTCTCTCTCCTCCTGGCTTTCTCTTTTGCAAGTGTTGCTGATGTTGTGTTTTTTTTGTCGCAATTGGATAAGAAGGCCTCGTGTGCAGGTGTTATCTTGTTGTTATCATCTCAGGCTTTCTGGTATTTATTAAATGGAACGGAGGAGGAGGAGAAGGAGATCTAATCAAAATTACTCGGAACATAATTCTCTGCTGACTGACTCCCAGTTTTTATCAGTTAAAGTTTTGTTGATACGTTACATAACCTCCTGTGCTTCATGCCAAGCCTTTAATTTAAAAAAAAACCACAATGGTGTGCACAGTCACATCGAAACCTACGGCTGGAAGGGACCTCAAGAGGTCTTCTAGTCCAACCCCTGCTCAAGGCAGGAGCCTTATACCATACCAGTCAAACGGTCTAGTTCAGTGACGGTGAACCTTTTCGGCGCCGAGTGCCCAAACTGAAACGTGTGCGCTGGAGCACCGGAAAGTCAAAGACCACCAGCTGGCTGGCACACACGTGCCTGTTTTTTTGACCATTTTTTGACTGTTTTCAGGCCGGTTTTGTTTCTGGGCTGTTTTCAGGCCAGTTTTTGGGCCGTTTTCAGGCTGGTTTGGGGGCATTTTCTGGGCTGTTTTAGGCCATTTTCAGGCTGGTTTTTGGGTTGTTTTCAGGCTGGTTTTTGGCCGTTTTCTGGGCTGTTTTCAGGCTGTTTTTCAGGCAATTTTCAGGCCAGTTTTGGGGCATTTTCTGGGCTGTTTTCAGGCCGGTTTTCGGGCCCTTTTCAGGCTGTTTTGGGGCATTTTCTGGGCTGTTTTCAGGCCATTTTCAGGCTGGTTTTTGGGTCGTTTTCAGGCCGTTTTTTGGGCGTTTTCTGGGCTGTTTTCAGGCCGTTTTTTGGGCCCTTTTCAGGCCGGTTTTCAGGCCCTTTTCAGGCCGGTTTTGGGCATTTTATGGGCTGTTTTCAGGCCATTTTCAGGCTGGTTTTTGGGCTGTTTTCAGGCCGGTTTTTGGGAGTTTTCTGGGCTGTTTTCAGGCCGGTTTTCAGGCCGGTTCTTGGGTGTTTTCTGGGCTGTTTTCAGGCTATTTTCAGGCTGGTTTTGGGGCCGTTTTCAGGCTGGTTTTTGGCCATTTTCTGGGCTGTTTTCAGGCCATTTTCTGGCTGTTTTCTGGGGCATTTTCAGGCAGTTTTTCGGCTGTTTTCCAGCCGTTTTTCAGGCCGTTTTCCAGCGCTCTGCCACCTGCAAAGACCAGCTGGCTGGCACCCCAGAAACCAGAAAAGCAGCTGGTGACAGCACACGTGGCCACAGTGAGGGCTCTGCGTGCCACCTCTGGCATACGTGCCATAGGTTTGCCATCATGTCTTTAGTTTAATGACAAGAAGGACAAGGGGTGACAGTCTTCCAGTATTTGAGAGGCAGCCACAAAGAAAGGGAAGATCAATTTATATGTCAGACTGCGGTACTGTCTCAAAATTAAATGAATTTCCAAACTGCCAATCTTTAAGGAAATCTTTCTTTAATTGAGCTCAGCCACCGGATTATGACTCTGTGCGGACAAGACTGACCTTTTGCCTCCCAATCCCTCCCTTTCCGACCCCCAAGACTCTGCTTCTCATTGGCTGTCTTCCAAGTCATTCTTCAGACTTCTTTTCCCCGTCATTTCTCAGGAATGTGCCCCCTCCCCTGATCTCCACGACAACCGGGCTTCAAAGGGATTTTGCAGGCAAAAGTTTCAGAGTTTATCTTTCGCTGTCCTCTGCTCTCTCTCTATGCCAGCGTTGCAACGCTGACATCATACTCCAAAGCACCAGAAGACAAACAAGGGATGGAAACTAATCAAGGAGACAAGCAACTTAGAACTAAGGAGGAATTTCCTAACTGTGAGAAGAATTAATCAGTGGAACAGCTTGCCACCAGAAGCTGTGGGTGCTCCATCATTGGAGGTTTTTACGAAGAGATTGGACATCCGTTTGGAATGGTATAAGGCCTCCTGCTTGAGCAGAGGTTAGAACAGAACAGAACAACAAAGTTGGAAGGGACTTTTGAGGTCTTCTAGTCCAACCCCCTGCTTGGGCAGGAAACCCTATATACTATTTCACACAAATAGTTGTCCAATCTCTTCTTAAAAGACTCCAGTGATCGAGTACCCACAACTTCAGGAGGGAAGCTGTGCCACTGGATAATTGTTCTCACTGGTGGGAAATGGTCACAAGTCACTTTTTCCAGTGCCGTCATAACTTCGAATGGTCACCTAAGGCAGAGATCCCCAAACTTGGCAGCTTTAAAACTTGTGGACTTCAACTCCCAGAATTCTCCAACCAGCAAAGCTGGAGAATTCTGGGAGTTGAAGTCCACAAGTCTTAAAGCTGCCAAGTTTGAAGACCTCTGACCAAAGGAATGGTTGTAATTTGAGGACTTGTATTTCCTTCTACGTTTGGAGTTGGCGCTGCTTAAAACCTTTAATGAGAGACCTAAAATGGCCTTTGCGCTTTTTATAAAGCAATAATGTGGGGAAAACAGAGACGGCCGCCTGGTGGCAAGATAAATTTAATAATAAATAGGCTCTGTGCAAAATGTGAGGTGGGATAGCCCTTATTCCTCATCCAATGTTGCCCTTCAGTCATAAACCACCTGCAAACCACAATGCTTGATTCACACATGAAAGGAAGTGTCTTGGCCAGGCTGCAAAACCTGAAGATGACACTAGATGGCAGCATTTTCTTCAGGGTTTTTCAGCCGGATGTGATATTGCTATGATTGGTAATCTAATGTTTGTTTGTTTTTTCAAACTTCGCAACCATAAAGATTCCCCAGTCAGCAGGCTTCCAACCAAAACATTGTTTTAAAGTTTTCACAGTTTTAGGCACAAATTGACTTCCGTGGACCTCACTTCATGCTTAAGTGGTCCATAGAGTGCATAAGCACACTAATGTGCCTATAGTCCTTATCATTGCATTTTTATATTATTCCTGTTTTTGTTTCTGTTTGACAAATCATAATAAATAAATAAATGAATGAATGAATGAATGAATGAATGAATAAATATCAAATCAAATCAAATCAAGTTTTATTTTATCAAACTGTAAGGAAAGAGAACGAGTGGGAATCCTATGCAAAGCACAAATTTAACTGTTGAAGTCCACCTATCCTTAAAACATGTTGGCTATGAAATTCTGGGAGTTGAAGTCCGCATATTTTAAAGTCAAATTAAGTCAGATTAATAGATTGGAAAGGACCTCAGAGGTCATCTATTCTAGTCCAAACCCCACCCACCCACCCACCCAAGCAGGAGACCCTACATCGTTTCTGACAGAGGACAGTCCAGTCTCTTCCAACAATCGTTGCACTTTTTTCTTCCTTTAACATAAAGTCAACAATTTCAGCCTTTCCCCTTCAGACCAGCCTTTCTCAATCTTGGATGTTTAAATATAGATGAATTTCAACTCCTAGAATTCCCCAGCCAGCATGAATTCTTCAGACAAGAGTCGAAAGGGACCTTGTAGGTCATCTAGTCCAACCCCCCACCCAAGCAGGAGACCCTGCACCATTTCTGACAGGTGGCAGTCCAGTCTCTTCTTGAAAGCCTCCAGGGATGAGGCTCCCACAACTTCTGAAGGCAACTTCTCTTCCATGGGTTGATGGTTCTCACTGTCAGAAAATTCCTCCTTATTTCTAGGTTGAATCTCTCCTTGTTCAGTTTCCATCCATTATTCCTTGTCTGGCCTTCAGGTGCTTTGGAGAATAGCTTGGCCCCCTTCCTCCTCTCTGGGGCAGCCCCTCAAATATTGGAAGATGCTCTCCTGTCTCCCCTGGTCCTTCTCTTCACTAGACTAGCCATGCCTGGGATGCTGGCTGGGGAATTCTGGGAGATGAGGCCATTCTCTTAAAGTTGCCAAGGTTGAAAAAAATGGTATTACAGCTACATGGAGGGACGTAAGCAATTGGGGTAACACAAGGTTCCATCATAGGCTCACTATTCTTCAATATCTTCATAAATGACTTAGATGAGGGAATAGAAGGGGAACTCATCTAATTTGCAGATGACTAAAGCTGGCCAACACCCCAGAAGACAAGCTCAGGATCCAAAAAGATCTTGACAGACTTGAACAATGGGCCCTATCCAACAAAATGGAATTTAATGTGGAGAAAAGGAAGGTTTCCCACCTATGCAGGAAAAACCAAAGGTACAAATACAAATTAGGAGCCTGAGTGGCGTAGGAGGCTAATGCCTCCTACTAAGGCAGCATTTAACATCTAGCTGCCTGCAATTACTGCGAGTTCAATTCTCACCAGGCTCAAGGTCGACTCAGCCTTCCATCCTTTCTAAGGTGGGTAAAATGAGGACCCGGTTTGTGGGGGCAATAAGCTGACTTTGTATAAAAAATACAAAAGTATGAAGGCTATTGCTTAACGCATTGCAAGCCGCCCTGAGTCTCCGGAGAAGGGCGGTGTGTGTGTGTGTGAGAGGGAGCTTGGAGTCCTAGTGGATAATCACTTAAACATGAGCCAGCCATGTGCAGCAGCAGGCAAGAAAGCTAAGAATAGAATAGAATAGAATAGAATAGAATAGAATAGAATAGAATAGAATAGAATAGAATAGAATAGAATAGAATAGAATTTTTTATTGGGCCAAGAGTGATTGGACATACAAGGAATTTGTCTTGGTGCATACCCTCTCAGTGTACATAAAAAGAAAAGAATTATAAAGTACAACACTTAATGATAGTCATAGAGGACAAATGATACCAGCAACAAAGTTACGTTATACAGTCATAAGTGGAAGGAGATGGGTGATGAGAACAATGAGAAGATTAATAGTAGTGCAGACTTAGTAAATAGTTTGACAGTGTTGTGGGAATTATTTGTTTAGCAGAGTGATGGAGTTTGGGAAAAAAACTGTCCTTGTGTCTAGTTGTTCTGGT